CTGTTGAACAAGTGAGTAAAATAAGTAAAAGACAATTTATGGATACAGAACTAAAATGCCAACATAAAAAAGATATTCATGAGTAATCATAAAACTGCAAATTGAAACAATGGAGTATCATTTACCTAGGAGCTTGTCAAGTGAAAATAGGAGGTACTAAATGCTAGTGAGGATGCAATGAAATGGGGGCATTTATGCAGCATCAGTGGGAGTGGAAATCCCTTTTGGATGAGTTTGTTATTACTAAAATTTGAAATGACCCAACAATTACAACTTTGGAACTAAAAATATTGTAATAAAAAGAAGAAGAAAATGTGTAACGTGCAGAAAAAAATTCTGTGTATTAGGATATTTGTTGTGCCATTATTTGCAGTGGTGAAAACTGGAAACAATCCAAACGTCCAACAGTAGGGATGGTTGCATATATTTAGTCTGCCATTTTGTCCCATGGGAGAGTTGAAATTAATAAATGTGTGTATAGGTGTCATGACGTGAGTAGAGAGCTCTCATACACATTGGAAAGGTTGTAAAACCCATTTTAAAAATTCGAAGTAAAATACTGATAGTGTAAACCTGTTTATGTTAAGAAAAACCCAGCATGTTTACTTACATTATAGGCACTTACAACTTATTTGTGTACATACGTGCCTAGAATGAAAAGTAGAAAGATGGATACCAACTGTTGGCGTTAGTTGCCCGTGTAATGAAGAAGGCCCTTTCTCTGCATAGTTTTGTACTGTTTTAGGTACTGGAGAGATGGAAGATTCACAGTGGCCTTGATTTCAGTGCCTACTCTGTGCATTGTATTGACAGTTCCATTATGTATATTAGCACATTTCATTTGTAAAGCTGTTTACAAATGAGGAAATTGGGATGTTATGTTAAAAAACTTGCCCAAGGTTATATCTTGTGTTGCTTTGTGCATAGATATTTTTAAGTAAAAAAGGGTTATAGTGTATTTAAGAGCTTTAACTGCTTTTTATTTATCATAAGACTATAGTGAAGACATCTTTTTAGGTCAATAAAGGTAGACCTGTATCTTCATTTTTAATGGCCACATCATATCTCATAGAGGTACCGTAGTAGCTTCAACCATTTCCCTGTTAATGAACACGTAGAGTGTTTGCAGTTTCAGGCCATCACAAGTAAGCTGTAGGAAGTATACACATATATTTGTGTGTATACTTGTTGATAATATCCTTAGGATATTATTCCAGATGTGTGATTGCGGAGTCAAAGAGGATACAAATTTCCAATGTTGACATATGTTTTGACATTACCTTCTAGGAAATTCATATCAATTCACATCCTTGCCAATATCCCATATTGGCCTTTGTGTGAATGTGTGCTAAATCCCTCATTTGCCCTATTGTGATTATTATGCATTGCATACCTGTATCAGAATATTTCATGCAATCCATAAATATATACACCTACTATATACCTACAAAATGAAAAGGTAAATACTAAATCAATAAATGTATGATGATCTGATAAACAATAAAAATTTCATTTGTATCTTTATATGATTTTTGAAATATTTTATTTGCAAAACAAAAATGAGCAGCCTTCCGCTATGCATGTCATTTAATCATTAAAGTGAATAACAGTGATACCTCAATTGACCCATTTGGTTTCATTTTTTGTATGCTCAAGATGTGAAATTTTGTAATTGTAACAATTACAAATGAAGAGCTTGAATATGGATTATGTATTATTCTTATTTACACAGCTAATATTTTAAGAATATGTCTAGTCTTGTGTTTTATACAGAAAATCTCAGTATTAGTCATTTTCTCATAAGGACTGTTTATAATGGAATGGTAGTATAGAGAACCCTAAGTTTCATACGTTGAAAAACCACTTATGTTTGGAATGAGTTATATTGAGAATGTAATAATTGAATATAGTTGTATTTGACTTTCAGGTAATATTTTTTCACTAAATCAGTGACTAATGCAATCTCAACCAGGAAGTAGCCAGAAAGTTCCTTATTTCCTTCATTTCCTTACTTGTCAGTGACGGAAATGGATAATAAAATGTCTCATAAGGTGATCCCACCAGGGCATGGCCATTCTCTCTCTGCGTAAGCTTGAACTTGTCTGGCTCACACTCCCCTTGGGAAGAAGAGAATTAAGCTGGGGCGTAATGAAGTGGTTCTGTCCAGAGAAACATTCCTAGTGGCTGAATTATGAGGAGGAGGAAGTACACATTCCTGTGTCCCTTTTATTTCATGTTGGACTTTGTACAACAATGGAGCCAGAGCCAAGAGATGGGAATAGGAAGTCCTAGAACTTTTTGCAAAAAGTCTCTGCTCTCTAGCTTTCACTGCTGAAAGCTTCAAGATCTGATGTCGCCATACCCTCCCGGGCAGCTGAAAATTGAGTCTGTGCCACCAGTTGACTGGGGTGCCCTCCCTGCTGTGTTGAGATCCAACTCTGGGAAAGTAGCCTCACATGTAGGAAGCCAGCATCTTTCACTGCCCCTCATCTCTGCGCCAGACAGACAATGCAGCCTTCTTGACAGACCGATTACTAACGGGGAGGTGGTCCATAGGCTAGTCATTAATTCATCTGATGCATATTGCATGTCTTCTGGGTTTCAAGCTCCATGCTGGGGATTCAGAAGTGAACCTGCCTAATATAGTCCCTGCCTTCATGGCGCTTGCGGTCCAGTGGTAGACTGATAATGACCACACTAGACTGATAATGACATTAGTAATCAATTAAGTCTGAAACACGCTACAATAGCACACCATGTGGTAGTGCTGTGAGCGGGCGTAACAGGGGTCCTAACCCAGTCCACCCCTTGCTGAGCAGAGCATGACAAAGAGCACATTCCCCGTGGGAGGCCATCCTAGGGAGCACCAGGCACGAACCCTGCATGGTCCAGACATGCAGAAAACTGATGGAATTGCATGCATGGCCTTTGGAGGGTAGACTCCCTGGGCCTGCGCTTGCTCCTTGACTGAAGTCCAGCTCCATGTGGAAATAGCCGTCCCATTGGCACTGTCACTGACCGCTACCTGTGTTTGGGCTGGTTCAGGCGCAGTTTGACATCGCAGTGGCCAGCGAGATCATGGCGGTGCTGGCCCTGACGGACAGCCTCGCGGACATGAAGGCACGGCTGGGAAGGATGGTGGTGGCCAGTGACAAAAGTGGGCAGCCTGTGACAGCAGAAGATTTGGTGAGTGTTTCCAACCCGGAAGCTTCAGGGAGTGGGCAATCCTCGTTCTTTGTTACCAGAAAAAGAAAGGCTTTCTTCCTTTTCTCAGTGGGTGTAATGAAGATACAGAAAAAGTTTCTACACACATTTCTTTCCTCACAAGCATGTTTGCCTGACCACTTCCTAATGTTCTCATAGTCAAACATGACGTGCTTATACCTGGCTGCAACCAAAACACGTGAAATTTTTTTCAGGAGCTTTCCTCCGTCTTTGCTAATCCTGATCTCTGCTTCTGCCTGGGCTGGGGAGGAGTCATCCCCCTGCAGTCACTCGGCAACTTTTTTAAAATGTACCTTCTATACCTGCCTGAAATTGAGGGCAAATCACCTTTTCAAGGAACAGAAAGAAGTGGCTCTGCTTCCATGAACAGGAAGGTAAAGTTAAAATTGGCACATTTCTGGCACCAGCTTGGCTTATTATTTAATTTGGGGCCTTAGATTTGGGTTTCTTATTATAAAAGC